ATGCACCAGAAGCCAGTGTTCCCCTCCGGGAGAGATTCTGCTTGTCAGTGCTTTGAAAGACAGAGGATGCTATTTTCAACTGGTAGGTAGTGGCACAAGGTGCTGCCAAACATCTTTGGATCCATACTAAAACCACAGCAGTGTGGAGGCTGCCAAAACTATCTCGCCACGAGGCATGAACAGTCTCTGGAAGGATACCAATAGGCTACTTCTTGAAACACAGATGACAATGAGGAGCCTGGATGGACAGTAACTTTTTTATTGAATAGCCCCCCTATTACTTTAATTTTAAAAATCTTGAGGGGTTGTAGGTATATCTCAAAGGTGGAGTACTTGCCTAGCTTGCCTGCAGCCCTGGTTTGACCCCTAGCACTTCAAAAGCAAATAAAAAAACCCTAATAAAAAACTTTATTACAACACAACTTTACATTTTTAAAAAAATCTATTTAGTACAGGGTCTACAGGGTCTCACTACACAAATCTTGCAGTGATCCTCCTTTTTTCCACCTCCCAAGCGCTGTGATTATAAGCACAGCATCCTGGGGTTCAGGGGCTCGAATCCTGGTCTTTGCACCGGCCTAAGCTGGTGCTTTAGTCCACTGGGCTACCTGGGCAGTCCATTACTTTAAATTTTTTACTGAATATTTGAGAGGCTTTACTTACATGCTCAGGTTTATCTTTAAGAAGCTGTTTTATCTTGTTTACGGCAGAAGGTGTCTGAAAAAAGAAAATGCAACTTTTATAGTAATACAACTTTAACTCAAAACCACAGGTTTACTCATCTTTTAACAGTATTCACTGTCTTTATCAAATTCACATGACAAATTTACATTCCACTCATACCAGGGCATTTTGTTCACAAACACGAGATTCCTACTCAGCTAAAAGCACTCTTTACTTGTCACAGTAGTTGCAGCAAACATTCTCTGAGTTTTGCTCTGCAGGGCAGGTTAGTACACTGTCAATTCACCTCTATCTTGTGGTGGTTAACGATCACCTTGAGTGGGAATGCCCAGCTGAATGGAGTCAACGAGCTCTGGGCATGGAAGACCCACACTTTAAAGAGGACTCTTGTGGGAAGTGTATAATGTTAAAAGGAGAACAGGAGGGAAGGATTTCAGCTGGTTTTCTTTGGAGGAGCTCCGGTCTTCGCCTTTGGCACTGCCTCTGCTTCTTCAGCTTCCAGCACTGGCCTTGGCCCCTGTTGGCACAGTCTCTTTAGCTTCCAGCGGAGGCCCTACCACCTCTTGGCACAGACCTCCCTGGGCTTCCATGGAGAACACTGATGTGGACTTGTATAGGATAGTGCTGTGGGATCTTGGCCTTTGGACACACACAGACCCTTTGCACCCTACATTTGACAGCAGGCGGCCATTGTAAGCCAAACTTGTAAATTTCTGTGTCCTGACATATATCTGATTTGGAGCCTGGGAAGTCCTTAGGAACCTTGCCCTAGCCCGGGGCAAGCTCTTGTAAGCACAAATATACATCACAAATGTAACTTTTTGAGGCATCATCCGCTTAGTGCACCTGCTACATGGCCAGCAACTAGAGTATTCCCAGACACCCAGAGGCCCAGATAGCCAACGAGTGAAGCAAGCATGTTACCAGAAAAGCCAACCTTCTGAGGTTTTTCCTGTTGATATTAATCCCATTATTTTTCTCCCTTCCTCACAATCTTTTTCAAAGCACACCCAGGGTGTGCTTCTCATACCATCCTTACCAAAGGCTCAGACCAATTTTCAGTGTATACTGAACAAATCTCGAGTCAGCCAGCAGCAAGCAACTCGGTGAGAAATAAGAACAGGAACTGTTTTTCTACAGAAATGTGGTTTGACCTTGTCCTATATATGCAGGTCATGTTACCAAGTACATGTTCTCGGGAAAGGGAGTACAATGAATAGTATGTCCAGGGGCCTTCCTGGTCCACTGCCTAGGTGGGGCCCCACAATCAAAGTAAGTAGACTCTCCAACTTCCAGTCTCTTATTGTGAAGTGACGATTAAAGCACCTCCTCCTTGGGATTCTTGTGAAGACAAGATACTGAAATTTATGAAGGGGATTCTGGTCCTTTTGCCACATATAAGCAGCTCAAAACAGCAGTTATTACTATGGTGAGTGTGCTGTAGTGAAGAGATGATGGTTTTCCTACTTCCTGTTTTATTAGCTGCTGCATCTGCCAACAGTGGGGCAGCCCTCCAGTTTTTATGATGACATTTGACTGGCTTGAACTAAGTCAAGTCTGTGCTGAGGGAGCAGCCTAGGGTACAACCTCAGAGGATGCTCAGTCAGATGGTGACAATACTGGACTCAAGTTAGAAGGGTCAGGAAACCATGGAAGGCAGAGACCAATATTAAAAAAAAAAAAAAAAAATCAATCAAGAATTGGTTCGGCAAAGTCTGTAATCACAGTTACTCAGGAGGCTGAGGTAGGAGGACTGCAAGTTTAAGGCCAGTTGGGGGAATTTCCTGATATCCTGTCTCAAGAGCATACGCTGGCACTAGGTTCATTCCCCAGTACTGAAAAGGGGAGAGGGGAGAAGGAAATAAAAAATGAAAACAATGTACTTAATAAAAATGGGTGCTATTTCATGAAACTTTTTAGTTTAAACAAAAAAAAACAAACAAAAAAGGTGCTCTACCCCACCAAGTGGTCCCTAATGGACTTGTCTCACAGCTCTACCTTCAGAATATGACATGAGCAGCAGGAAAAGGTTGAACAGTATGCAGAGGGCAGAGGAAGGAAATACATAAGCAAAATTGTTCAAAAAAATTTTATATCATGCAGTATCAACCTAAAATAGTTACAGAAATGTTTAATGCTTCTAAATGCTTCCAAAAGTGAGCTCTCTCCCATCTGGAGATTTTCATGGCACATTTCCTATATGGGTGCTAAATAAATTAATCTACCATCAAACAAAAATTTTTGATAAGTTAAAAAAAAAAGGAATAGCTAAGGGAAAATATGGTGAATTAAAATCAATGTCAGGGCACAGGTGGTTGTGGCACTGGTGACTGAACCAGGGCCTTCATTCTTGCTGAGCTGTGTCCCTAGCATGCATTTCTCTTTCTCTTTCTCTTTCTCTCTCTCTCTCTCTCTCTCTCTCTCTCTCTCTCTCTCTCTCTCTCTCTCTCTCTCGGCCAAGTTACTCTGTATGGTTTTACAAATAGTAAAAGATATGATCTAAATACATAGTGAATGTTTAAATTAAAAACACAACAGCTAAAAACATTAGTCATGAAGAATGGTCCACTTATTACAAAACTGCTGATGGTCACATTTATGCTGAACAGTACAGAAAGGAAAAGCAACATTAAATAAGAATTGGTGCAGAAAGTATTGTAATTGGAACAAAAATTGTATCTTAATTTTCCTGTGTTACATGCAAACCAACTACACCCACCCAGGAATAGTTACTAAGGATGGATAACCCAGCTGAGTTACAAAGGGGAAGTAACAGTTCAGATAATTTGTAAAATGAATGATCTGATCTTCAACACAAATCAAAATGGCTGAAGAAGGAACATTTGAGATTTTTTTCTTGAAACTCTAGATATAAAAAGAACTTTGTGTATGTCAATACCAGGGAGACACTAAGGATTTTACATGGCTCTACCTAAGTCTATATGCATAATCGGGAAATCTTTTGCTGAGGTAAAATGAATCTGGAAACAGCATAAAATCTTGCAATGAACAAACTGCAGGGCCTGGCAGTCTTCTAACACCAATGCTCTTTCTAGACAACTAGGAAGCCCATCCAAAACACTGATGTGCAACTAGTGACCGTAATTCTTGTTTTGATTTTTGAGACAAGGTCTCACCTATATAGTCCAGATGGACCTTGAACTTACTATTATAGTCCAAGCTGGCCTCAAACTTGCAGCAATCTTCCTGCCTCAGCCTTTGGAGTGCTGAGATTATAGATGTGTGCCACCACGCCTGGCCTAAGACTATAAAATTGAAGAGATTCTTCAAATCCCCCAAGATTTAATGATTGCTTTTTACCTACTATTTAAATTACAGGAATGTGACCCAATAAAGTGAGACAATTTTTTAAAGCTATTTTGGTCTACATAAAAACATTATCTCCAGGCTGCTTTCAGTCAAAATTGTAGGAAAAGGCATGTTAAACATTTTGTAACTATTTTCTAGCAGCAACACACTTGCTCAACATTTTTATTTCTTTTTTTTAAAGTTTGTTTATTTATTTATTTATTTATTTATTTATTGTGTGTGTGTGTGGGGGGGCCAGCTCAGCCCACCAGGGGGCAGGGCTGGCTGGCATGTGGTGCTGGGGGACCCAACGTGGTCCCTGTGCTTTGCTAAGCTTGTTCTAAGTAGGTGCTTTAAACCACTGAGCCATCTCACCAGCCCCACATTTTTATTTCTTGTAGGAGAAATTTTCATCTTCAATACTGTATTTCCTTAAATTATATGCCAATTTTCATTCTGAAACAGAACTCAAAGTTGATTTTATGGTTATATGTATTAAATAATGCCAACAGCAACATAGTTTAATGAGTATACATTTGGCATTTCAATGTTTAAAAAACGCTGAAAAAATGACAATGCAGAATCCATGTACAAGCCATATAACCTCACTGTTCATAGCACTGGCTGCCATTATGGTGTTTTCTTTGGGTCTCTTCCTATGCCTGTAAATACACACATATAATGTTTGTAACCCTAGCAGACAGAATTAAGTAGCCTCCATTAAAAAAAATAACATTATTTTTTCACTTGATACATTGTAATAAACCTACATTCCCAATGAGTACCTTCTAGGTGTCTGATGTTTTCATATCCTTTTTTTATTCTTACAAGGCAGTGATTTAGATATTAAAGATTATATAAATTCCTTAACTATAAATTTTAAAAGCTTACAATGAGTAATATTTAACCAAGAACTACACTAGCATGTTTAGTCATTCTCTTGTTATGTAGATCATGTCCACTGTTTTAATTTTCCTTTCTGTGCTGGGATTGAACCCTGTGCACACTAGCACTTACGCTACCTCTGTATCTCCCTGCTGTTCCTAGTCCCAGTGTTTCTTATAACGGAGACAAGCAGCTCCTAAGTGCCTTCCTGGTCAAATACTAGTTTTGGTCACTATTCCAATGACTTCTGGCCCTAGCCCAACAAACTAACCATTTCCTATTAAACATTAAGCCCTTTTCACCAGGTTCCACTAGAAAGTTAAGCCCTAAGGCACCTGCTGGCCACAGAAAATTAACTTCTTTCTGTATGTGAAAAATATATTGACTGTGCATATCATTTTTTCACAGAACTCTTGAGCGTGCATTGGACACGGTGAGAGACATCTCTAACCCTAAACTAGGGTTGAACTGATTCTGTTCTCTGCAATGATGATAAGGAAAGACAAGTATCTGCCACCTGAGCAGTGGTTGAGCTTTTCTTTACACATACTTTACTCTGGCTCCTACCAAATGGATTCCATCTTTCAGTTCCTGGGTAGTGGTGAGGGGAGCCATTGCCTTAGGATGTTTCTGCAGGAGCCCAAGGTTACTTATACTGACTGGGCTGGAGTCTTATAAAAACCCTTCCCTCCGTCCAACAACCCACCAACCCCTCCAGGACTAACACTAGTTAATGAAAATGATTTGATTATGATAACATCCAATCATGTGTTCATGTCCTTAATTTTCCTGGCCTCCTGCTGACCTCTAGTAGACTCCACAAGTACAACAATTTTCAAATACTGTAACATGGCCCATGCCTGATGTTAGTTTTATATATCCAAGTAACCTCCCTTCCTCTCAGTTTTACTGAATCATCTTTACCTTTGTTTGCTGTTATCTGTCTCCACCATTAAACCTTTGATCAAATCACTACTTTTACACTCCATATATAATGTTGGGATTAGAACTTTGAAAAACACTTGAAAACTAAGCACAAAGAACAATATATGCCATATGGTATCTTGGGGTGAGGCTACCTATGTTAGTATAAAGTGACTGCTAGTCCATTAACACAGGTCATGTGGGAAAGCTGCATTAACATGCTTTTTTTCTACCAGCTCGTAAGAAACTCCTGGAGCTTATAGTCATCCTTGACACTAAGCACAATGAGTTGCTGTTTTGACAAAGCTAGACAGCAGGAACCTTTGTGACTGACAATTACTGGAGAATATGCAAGTAAGCAGAAGACAAACGTGGGGGAGACCAGGCCTGGGAGCATAAGATGTGTTAATTATCATTCCTCCTCTGCACGGTGAAGGCTTTCTCTACAGCTGTGCCCACGGAGGGAGGGAAGTGTGTAACTCTCTGATTTGTCCTAAAACATGGGAAACTGGAAGCATGTTTGGGGATGAAGACGGTGACACAGAAGTTCTAAAGGAACAGCTAACATGCCAAATGATGAACGAAAAACGGCAAAGAAACTTTTGCTGTGTCCTCTGGCTTTTCCTGGCTCTTCCATTACTGATGGAAAAATTCTTCTGAATTTGGAATAATTTTCTCTGACTGAAATGAAACAATTTAGATTGCATGGAGTATTTTCCGAACAGGAAAACAGGCATGCTATTAAGAGAAAAATATAGCAAAAAGTAGGATGTATAATTAGGATAACCTCAAGGGCCTAAAAACATTCATCTACTCTAAAAGTACCCCTGGCCCCTCTGATTTTCCTTTTTGCTTCAACTAATTTTCTGGCAGTAGGCATTATTATCGCATTAGCTGAAATGGACTCCACTATTCAACTTAAGTCGTCAGATTTCCCAGTGTCTACGTGACTGCCAGCACCACGGCTGGGTGTGTGTGAGAACACCAAACCGATCCTTACGTTGCTTATTTTGGTAAAAATGTGTTGAAACTGCACAGATAATAATTGCACATTATTAATCTTCTAAATACCACCGAATTGCACCCTTGAAAATAGTTAATTTTATTATGTGGATTTTCTCTCGTCTAAAAAAAACCTTCACAAGCTGAAGTGGAGGGCTCCCAATTTCGAGCTCAGCCTACGCCAATTTAACAACTTAAAAGACTGCGTTTAAAAAGTGGGGGCGGGGGGAAGCTGAACGCGAAGCTCAATGCGAGGCGGGGTTCGCTTCCCTGGGCGCCGCAGCACCGAAGGGTCCGCACCGGGCACCCCCTGCTCCGGCTGAGTGCTGGTGCCCTCTGCGCCTGACCTTTGTCCCGGAAAGCACTGCGGCGCAGCGCGCACACAGCATCTTTGCTCCGGAGATCTTGCCAGGCAGGAACTGAAGGCTGCAGAGGTCCGCGGCGCCGGGACCCTAGAGGAAGCCCGGAAAGCGGGGTTGCGCGCCGCGCCCGATTAGAGAGCGCCCTCGTCCCCAGGATCGCCCCGCGCGCACGGCCTGTTGGGAAACGTAGTTTAGGGCGCCCACTCCGAGCAGCCCCGCCCGGGGCTTGTTTATCACCGCTACGGGGACCGGTAGGGCCCCTGCGGGAGCCGGGGACTCCACCCGCGCTCGGACGGGTCCGCGGCCTTCTCCCGTTGCCGCGACTTCCCCTCACAGGGGGCGGACATGGGCCAATGTCACGGCCCGGCCGCGCACCGCGTGCACTCACCAGCGTGAGGGCGGCGCGGGTGGGTTGTAGTTTCCTCTTGCTCACAGCCCGGACGGTGGCTCGGACTAAGGAAGCCGACATCTTCGCCGTCCGGGCGCCCGGGTCCCTCGGGCAGGACCTCAGAACCCTCAACCTCTCTCCATGGACACGGCGGGCGGACTGACGCCACAGGCACCAGAGCACGCGTCCCAGGCTCCGCCCCGCGCCTCTATTGGGCGACCTGCGTGAGTGACGGGCGGGGGGGGGTCGCGTGCGTACGTGTAGGGCGGGGCTTCGCCCCTGGAGCTGCGGGTGCTCTCTGACCTTGGGCGCCGCGACGGTCGTTGCCTTGGCGACGCATGTTGGAGCTCGGGCTCCGGGGCAGAGCTGCGCTGGCGCCCCCAGAGAGCGCTGGAGCCGGGTTGCCTTGACCTTCACGTCTCGAAGGCTCGCCTCAATAAGAATAGCCTGTCGAGGCTTAGAGGTGCGGAAGAAAGTCCTCTCAGCTGCGGGAACCTCTTCTCCGGCGGGGAACCGGTCGGGGGCGCAGACGCCTACATCTGTTTCCCTTCTTCCTTCGTGGTCCAGTGAGGTCGTTGAGAGCGCAGACTACGGAGGACACGTCACCCCCAGCGTACAGTGCTGCCGGCAAGCTGCAGGACAGGACTAAAGCGGATATGCTAGTGATGAACGTGAACCTGACTCCACTGTAAAATAAGTGATTAGTCACATTTACAGACAGCATCTGCCGGCTAGTACACCTGCTGTGGTGAGACCTCGTCCCTCCTGCTCAGGGGTGTAATTCTGTCTAAGGAGTTACTCCTGAGCGCCAGGCATTGTACCCGACCATTCTCCGGAAGCCAGCAACAGGGCCTGGGCTCAAAATTTGAGTCCTTGAGCCCCAGCCTCCCAGAGTGCTGGTGCACACCACCACAACGGCTTTTTAAAATTTTTTTTCCGTTTTTTTTTTTTTTTTTGGTGGAACCAGGGATTGAACTCAGGCCCTTGCGCTTACCAGGGAAGCACTTATTCTACTGAGCCATCTCCCCGGCCTTCCCAGTATTTTTGATACGGAAAGAACAAACAATTTTTAAGAGTCTGATTTATGTTCGATCCTCTAGAGCTTACAAGGTCTGAAAAGCTAGCTCAAAATAGTCAAGTAGTTCTTTCTTGTCATGCAAATGCAATTGCGTTTAGGGCAAATGAGTTTTAGGGCATTTTTTTGGTCTAAATTCCAGCAGCACACAGAAGAAACAGGCATTGAGAGGTGGTAGAATGTTGAGTTTGTTTCTTGGCCTCATCTTTGATTAACTGGGTGATTTATGATAAGGCATTTTACTATTTTAAGATCGTGTGTGGCTTTTTTTTTTTTTGTGGAACCAGGGATTGAACTCAGGCCCTTGCGCTTGCCAGGGAAGTACTTATTCCACTGAGCCATCTCCCAGGCTCTGGCTTTTTAATGTCGTGGCATTTTACTTCTTTGCTTCTGAAGATACTATGAAGATTAAATGAGTTAATACTTGAAAAACCCCTGAAGAAAGCATGGTACACAGAAAACTCAATAAGCACACTGTTCATAGATACCAAAGATGACACATGTGAAACTACACGTGATGCTGTGATGGACAGACCTGTCATTGTGCCTTTGTCAGAGCCCATACAGTGCACAACAGAATGCTTTGCCATGTTTGTGCAGGTTTATGATGGGACACCGTGATGCAGAATGGTAATGGGGGAAAACAATAAATACATAGAATTTTGAGGTCTCTGTCCAGTTTTGCTATGCACCTACAACTTCTAAAAAGTAAAAGTAATTTTGTCAATTATTGGAATGCTGTATAGTTGTCGAAATTTGGTTTTGAAAGGAACTGTTTTGTGCATTACTGATAATTGAACCCAGGACTTTGCATTGGTAAGTTCCATCCGTCTCCTTTTAAAACATTTTGACATGGTCTTGCCAGTTGCTGAGTTGCCCAGGTTGTTGAACTTTGATCTTCTTGCCTCAAGTCTGTCAAAGCACTAGGGTTACAGGAAAGCAACACCATTCTCAAACTGGGATGTGGGAGGATTACAAGTCTTAACTCAGCTTGGGCAACTGAGCAAGACCTTGCCTAAAAACAAATGAACAAAAATGGGTGGGCTAGGGATGTGGCTGTGTGAAGGTTCAATCCCCAGTGCCAAACAGAAACATAAAAATCCCTGAGCATACCCATGAACTGGGCAGGGCAGAAAGGACATGACCTTTCTTTTTGGTACTAGGAATCAACTTGGAGGCCTTGCACTTGCCAGGCGGGCACTGTGCCTCAGAGCTACACCCCTGACTCTTAGGTACTGTTTTAAAAATACAGTGCTAAATTTCCTGATTCAGAGTCCTGTGTATGTTTAAAACCTTTTCCTCTTTTAACTGTTATTACTTACACTTGATTAGCTCTTTTGTCTATAAGTACTAAGTTAAATTACTTGCCAGTGCATCAGGTGTAGCTAATGTCATTGAAAACTGGCGCAGGCCCCAGAATTAACTTATGTTAGAATTCTCATGATTAAATAAGAAATATATACGTGGGGGCCTGGCCCTAGCTCAGTTCTTTAAGTGGCTGCTTCCACAGAGTTGTCAGCCTCAGGTTGCTGTAGTTCGATCCCCACAACTCAAGCCAGGCAAACCTGCCCTGAAGGCATTCGGAAGA